ACCCAGATGGAACCCTGAAGGCCCTGGCTTCCAGGGCAAGAGAGGAGCTCCGAGAGAGGGTGCGGCATCCAGCGCCAGGACGTTCCGCTTCCTACTGCGCTCAAAACTGAGCTCGGTTACTGTTGTTTCTAGCAGGGAGCATCCAGAATGAAGAGCAAGCAACATGAGCTGAGGTTTTATGGAAGAGGAAGGGTGAAAGAGAGGGGGTCAAAAGTATTTACTTCTTTTAAAATAATACTTTGTCATTATAAAAGTGATAAACATTATTGTTAAAAGTTGGAAAATGAGGGACTAAACAGAAACTATAATCTGCTCAAAGTCCTACCACTCAGAAAACCACAGATAACATTTTGGTGTATTTCCTTCTAAATGTATAATACTCATTTTAATTGGTTAAAGTCTTCCATTGATTTTTTTCATAGTTATTGTTAAGCTGCACATATTTTGATTCTAGTATTTCTGGCTTAACACTAAACTGTTAATATTCTGACATCGTATCCATAACATTACCTCTGAGCACACTGTTCAAATGTGGCTCCATCTTGTCTCTGAGCTGAGCCCCTCTTCCCCTAAAAATAAAAGGTCCTTACTCAGCAGAAACCACATTTCTCAACTTACCTTATAATCACCAAAGGCACTCCCATACTTATTTAGGCAAAATGAGATGTAAATGTGGAAGAAGTATTGACCTATCATGTACATGTTCACAGAAAGCACCAGATATTTGAGATGTGCCTATGGTATCGCTTACGGATGGTTGAGTACCACTTCCAACGTACTTAGGGTTCCTGTAAGTATTTCTAACTATACTTGAGACACCACATAAGACTATTAACCATAAAAACAAGGACTCAGCTTTCTTCTGGAAATGTAATTAATACATTATATTCACCAAGAGACTAGCATAGCAAAGCACTATTATCCTAATAACTAAGAATGTGACACAGTGACAGAGCCAATATTTACATGAAAAAAGCATGAGGAAGAATACATCCTTAGTTAAAAGTTTCATACTTCAGGAAGTTCCTTGATTGGACTTTCCACTTTAGGGAGGGGTTGTTTTCCAAGTGATCCAACACCAACACTGTTAATGCAAACTCATCTATTATATTTATGAAGAGCCCATATCCACACAGCCAGGCGCATTGGGACGGAGACCATAACTGTGCCTACATTCCTTAGTTATCATTCTCCAATGTGTTTGGGGAGTGTCGTTTGTGTGTATATGTGTGATTTTGTAGCAAAAAATTTAAAAAAAACACACAAAATGACTTTTTGCCCTAATATTATTTTGAAGGCCCCTCTGGTTCCATACTTTCCACTTTCACTGCTACTAAATTGCTTTGATATTTGACTAGACTCTGCAGATAATAAAAATCATTTAACGAGAAATGGGAGCTGGTGTCTAAGTTTTCTGGATCAGGAGCAGAATGGCTAATCTTCCAAACATTAAAATGGGAAGACAAGGCAATTGGATTGCACCAAATCTAATTTAGGAACTGGCCTTTCTACAAAATTGTGTGATGTTAAAGGGTGTGTAGAATTTTATGTGTATATTCTTGCCAAAATGATCTTAGACGTCACTGGATTACAAACTATTCAAAGATAATGCTTTTGTCTCTTTCATCTTTGGGTCCTTAGCACCCAGTATCACCCGACACTTGGCAGATGCTCAATTAACAGTGAGAGAATAAAAAGTGTGCTAGTTATTTAAATACATTTACGTACATTTAAGGACTTCTTTACAACTGCTTGATGGTGACATTTCTTTGACCTTTGTTACTTATTTTGCCCCAAATTGTTTGCCTTAGCATCTTTTTGCCTTTACGCTTGTGTGTATGTGTATTTAAATCTACCAGGTAAGGTTTATACTAGAAGAGAACCCAGGAAACCATGTGTTTTCTAATGTCAAACAGTAATAGAGTGAAAACTTGAACCCTAACTAGTAGAGGTTAAAGGACGGAAAAATGTTCCACTTTCTGAGTTACACTGACCAAGTCACACGCTGGAGGCTGAGCAGCCGTCCAACATAAACAGGACAGGAAGGGAGTAGCACAGAAGCTCTCAGCCCTTCATCAAAAGTCTGGCATCTGATGGGGGTGTTAACATGTCAAGTACACACACCTTGAAATAGTTTGATTGTACTGTGGCCAACTGACATTGCAAGTCCGTACTAGAGAGTGAAAACGTCCTCCTAGACCTTCCAAATAATCTCATTTTCTCCACAGTGTTTTAAAGTAAGATGTTAATCAAATGAGAACAGAGGAGACATGAGGAAGGAGCTGAAAGAGTTCCCAAATTAAGTAACTTGGTTGGACAAACTTTTCTATCCCAAGTGATTCTTTTTTCCCCATTTTGTAAAAAGTTAAATGGATTGGGGTGACAGTAATAGGATCATATAGGTTTCGGGTGTAGGCTTCTATGATATGAGATCTGTATATTACACTGTGTGCCCACCACCCGAAGTCAAATCTTCTTCCATCACCATATATTAGGCTCCTTGCCCCCCGCCCCCCCCCCGCCTCCCCATGGGATTCTTATTTAATTCTTTCATATTCATTTAGTTCATGAGATAAACAATATCAATCTTAAAAGTATTGTGAGTGGGAAAACGGTGGGACTGGTGAGGTAAATCGAGGCTCGAAGTTAAGCGGAACAAATGGGGTTGCTCTAGATGTGGGAGAACTTTCTCTTCTTCCTCCTTGATCTGCTCTTGCTTCATTCATGCAAAATGCTTCTGATCATTCCTTTTGTCAGGCCCTGGTCTAGGCCCTGGAGAAAGGGCAGTGAACAAACAGCCAAGGCCCCTACTCTCAAAAAGCTTATATTATAATAGTGGGGGAAGACAATAGGCAAACTGACAAGCAGGTAAGTGAGAAACTATGAGAATTACCTGCCATGGGGTAATTAAAGAGGCTGATTTATTGGAGAATGGCTGGGCGGCTGCTTTAGGTTGGGTGGCCAGGAAAGGCGGTGGCATTAAGCTGAGAGTTGCAAGCGAGGAGGAGGCAGCCATTAGTAGCAGAACATTCCAGGGAGTAGAACATTCCAGGCAAGGGAACAACTCGTGCTTAAATTTGTGTCCAGGAGCACGGAGGAAACCATAAAGAACTTCCAAATATAGTGAGCCCGGCCCAGCTAAGTCACTGATAAAGAGGGCGATACAGTTTGCTATTTCCTTCTCTCCTGTCTCTTAAACACATCGTTTCTCACCCCCGCATGTGCAGGGCAAGTACACGTCTGTGATTTTACACAGAGCATTATTACTGTGCTTGTTATGTTTATTATTATGAAGATGTAGCTTTACTTTGGCTACAAAGTAAAGAACTGGACGGGGGTGACACATAAAATCCCTAATAACACAGTATGAATGAGTTTATAAGAATTAAGAAAAGCAGGGATTTTGTTTCCTATTCACGCAGCGAGCCCTAACTGAAAAAATATTTCTTTTGAACCTTCAGGCAAGATTTATAGAGAGTGGGAGGCACCAGACTTATTTGGTGCACTCCAAACAAGGCAAATAATAGAACAAATAGTTCATAAGTTGGGTTTATGTTTGTTCCTTTCTCTTTTCCTCTGATAAGAAGTCTGATTTAAGTACCGGTTGCTTCTTGTCTCTGCACTGTAACAGGAGATTGTGTTAGTCACATAAATAACTCTTACGTATGCATTTTCTCCTGTGCAGTGTCTAAGTGCACTTCTGGTCCCACAGCAAGTGGTAGGCATTCCTCAAACCCAGTGTGCATGGCACTGACACTTGTCAAGCGGCCCACATGTAATTATGTTTAACTATGCTTGAGGGACAGTGTCAGGGACAAAGATGCTTGGAGATGCAGAAACTAAAGTAGATGCCTTCTTGATACTGAGCCAGGAACTCACCCTCAGGACAGGTATGACAGACCCAGCTGGAGTCTGGGAAGGTTACAAGGCCATTGGTAAGGATTTCTGTTGGACAATAGAAGGTGATGGCTGGACCTTGTTAGAGAAAGGAATTTGTGACATTTCTATCGTTTCATTTTAGTCTTTTTCTTTTTTTTCCCCTTTCCATGATCAGTATTGGAGCTATTTGAGAGAGAAAAAATACAAAGAGATTTTCTTTCTAAAAAATGTTCTTTTTTCAGGAATCTGAGAAATCAAACACCATTTTTCAGGTTAACTTATTGCAAGAATCAATATTTTAATTCCTATTATTTGCCCCCTCCTAATTGTTTCCTATTTGTTTGGTTACAAATGATTCAGATGAATGAAATGTCATAAATTCCCAAGTTATAAACCTCTCCTTTTAGGAAGGGAAATAAAATCGTAGGCTAATGAGAAAAGATTAGAGCAATCCACAGTTTTTCATTGACAACCATAAGAGGCAAAATCTCATTTCCCCCCAATGTATAAAAAGAAATAAAAAGACGTGTGAAAGAATTTTACTTGGCAGTTACCTACAGTCATTCATTACCAATAACTTAGATGCCATCCTAAATGATTGGCAGATGTCATTCAACAACATTCCTCTTTTAAAACAATGAGCAAACGTTTTCAGAAAAGACCGTGATAATAGAGAAAGGAGTGGAAGACCTCAGACTAAAGCAGTAAAGTCAGTACTCCAAGAGGGTAGCTTGCAAGGGGAGAAGCAATGAGAGCTAACTTTTTCTTTAATTGCTTCGGTACTGTTTAAATTGTCACATCAAAGTGCATTTACTTTGTAATGAAAACAAAAGCCAATAAAGTAGTATAAATCCTAAGTAAATTTTACAATTAATATATATTTTAAAGTTTCATCACATACGATTTTCTACCTAGAAAATGGCAGGCATACAATATGAAAATTGCTAAATGATGCTCTAAGGATATACTTAAATGCCTAAAGATTTGAAAAAAGAAAACAGTGGTAAAACCTGGTACCAGTAAATGTTACTTCTAAGCTACCAGGTTTTGTGATTAGGTGCTCTGCCTTTCCCTAAATTTCCTCATGAAGGCAAGAGTAAGTACCCCCTTTATATGGATCTCAAACACTAAAGTCTGTTTTTCCTATATCTTATTTTATATTGAATATCTGACTAATAAGCAAATCATGATGTCACTCTTCAAACTTGTGCTTAAGCTACTCATCCTCTTAATAACCACAGGATTGTTCTGTCTGTGTTTTGCAGACATGCCCCAACCCCCCAATATGCACACTAGCATCACCATAAAGCGGAGCTAAAAGCAGAGGAGCTGTTGAAACTTCTGAGATAAGGAGGACTGAAATGCCTGTTAACAGCTCCTCCATTGCTCTCCTGTGATTTACATCTAATTTATGACAGCCATTACGGTGGATACAGGTCACTTAATCAAGAGCACAGTCAAGTCTTAGTCATTAAGCAACATTCACCCTTTCTTCCCCAGGAGAACAGGTCCCTTGTTTCATTAAAAGCACTGCAAATACATATTCAAAATGCAAAGATACAAAAGGTCAGCAGTGGCAATTAATTTTATGGGTTGAAGCCATATGAGTGTAAATCTCTTTTAAGACTGCCACTTTTGACCTCATTTTACCTGTTCAGAGTCTCAGTGGAGTTGGAGCATAGGTATTAAATGTTCACCTGGCACCTTTCACACTACTGTATACAAAACAAGTAGCCCTACTGCCTGAAAACGGAGCCCGGGTGGCATATAAGAATTAAATGCGTAGACAGATTTTTGAAACTGCAATAACACAAGATTGCCCAGAAGTCTATTTTTATAAAATTGTCTGCCCATTTGTTAACTTAAGGTGTTCATTTGGCTGATTTATTTCACTAGTCTAATAATGTTCATGAAATCACTTGGTAAACAATAAAGTGATGTGCAAATATATAAGATATTCTAACAAACGAGCTGGTGACAGAGAAAAGAGACTGTTCGGTATCAGAGAAACAAGTAACTCCTATCCTGAAGTCATCTTTCCTGCCCCAAATCAAAAACATCAGACATCATGGGAAAATCTAAGGGGCTTTCCTAGATCCCGGCGCGTTCATTCCCAAGGAAATGTGACCTCATCGAGTATGTATACATTTTATACGACTCTGACCTTTCCACCGACCTCTATCAGGGCAGTAATTCAAGGTCTGTTATGCTATGATAGAACCTTAGGAGGGAACTGATTTTTGCCTCTCTCGGACATTGCAATGGCTCCATTCATAACAACTCTCCGCTATGGAGTGCCAATGGAAACAGCTCATGCGAGGTTTATCACCCTAAGAAAATAGTGGAAATAAAGTATGAAGCTGGTATTTGTGAAAACGGGCAGTCACATGGAATTCCAAAGCCTAGGAGGTCGTGTTGTGAAGGGTGCTCTCCTTCCTGACAAGCCTGGTTATCTCTGGTGTCATTCCCCTCCCCAGGTTCTGTACAATGAGTTTCCATCCTCAGCTTTTAGTCTTCCTGTGCTTATCTATATCAGATTTCCTTACTGATTCTTACATTTAAAACACTGGGAAATGCTTTTAATAGAGAGCTCAAAGTAGATCCCCCTGCCCGTCACCTCTGGGGAGCGGCCACATCCTTGCTGTACATTGGAAGGCGACGCAGAGCACAGATATTTTCACAGCTGAAAGCAGTTACAGCTTTTAGCAAAGGGCAGAGGTAACCAAGCTTCTCATTTACCTTCTTTCTTTTTAGGTATCTTTTGTATTTTTTCAAAGACCCCACCTGGTAGCAAAGTCACGTCGGCCAGGGATGGCTTGCCTGCAGAAGGGGCAACGTGCCACCTAGCTGAGTCCAGGCAAAAAGTTGTCGCTGATCAGAGAGGCAATTTAGCAGGGGTATGGAAAGTACTATAAAACCATGCAGAAATACTCACAGTTTCGGCTTGGCAAGCAGAGGCGGAGGCTCCTTGGTGGGCGACAGCAGGACAGCTGGTGCTGGAGGAGACTGACTGCCGTCAGCCTTGCCGTTCATCAGCCCGTTCAGGCCGTGGCTGGGACGCACGCCGTCCGTGTCCCTCTCCGCAGAATTGAGCTGCATCTGAAGGGCGGCCGTGCCGTGTCCCAGCTCGGGGCTCTTCACCTGCTGCATCTCAGCTGATTTCTTTGAAGCCAACTCAAAGGGACTTGTCTCCAAGATCGGAGGGGGAGGTGGGAAGTGCTGGAAATGATCATTGTTGGATTCGCCCGTGGAGTCATAGTTACAGTTTTCAGTGTTGGCTAAGGAAGGGGAAAGAGAGGGAACCAAATTATACAATGACACTTATTCAGCAGTTACTTTCACACTGTTATGGATCGTCTGAGGATCCCTTGTACCCTGTTCTTACAGAAGAGGTAGCTGTGCTGCTCGCATCTGACGCAGAAGCCACGCCAGCTGGAGGGCTTGGTTCTTTCCAGCTTGTTTGGGTGACTGCTACGTGTTTCATTTCCTGAATGGCCCACAAGTGGGAAGCCAGCTACCTATTCATTAACAAATTTCAAGCAAGAGCTCAAGACAGATCTTAGTTAAAAAATGACAGTACAAACAGTATCAATTAATAATGCCTTGTCCTCACATTTCAGCCATGGATCCGACTGAACATCCTATCTGAGCTTTACTGATATTAGCTCAAGCTCTAAAGGTTTTATGGGATCAGCAATGAATATTCATTCTCTTTAAAGCTAAATAAAGCTTTGGAGCCTAAGGGAAATGTCTTATGATCTCATAATTTTTTTTCCAGTTCAGATGATTGCCACAGCTATAACTCAGCACGCGCAAGCACACACACACATGCACACACACACACACAATTTTTTTTTTTTTTGTTACCCTCAATAAACTGAATGTGTCTTGAGGTAAGGTCATGTCTTCCTTGGATTTCTCACTTTGCCCAGAGCCCAGCAGAGCTCCTGGAATGCACTCAAAAGTGCTAACCAAGGTGAACGAAGGATAGTTCAGAAGTATTTATTATGTTTGGCTTATAGTAGATTTACCCCAGATAAAAATGCCAATTTTTGCCACACAGGCTTTGAGTCTAGAGGTTGGGTCACACTGTTGGAGTACTGAACAACTGCTGTGGCCATCTGATGGCACAGTCCTCAAGCCAACTCAGAATCAAAATACTGGGATCCGCCCCACTCTGCAGCTCCAATCCGGCACACTTATAGCACTCACTCAATCAACTGCTCACTCATGACGGTGAACTTTTACGTTTCTTTCTTCCTTTCTTTTCTTTTTTTCCTTTTCCCTTCCCCTTCCCATCCTCCCTCCCTTCTCCTTCCCCCTTCCCCTCCCCTTTCCTTCCCTCCTTCCTTCCTTTCTTTTTTCTCTTTTAGCTTTCAATTCCCTCAGGTGCCTTTATTTATTTTTTCTGTTTTTATTTTTCTGTTTTAAATTTATTATGATGATGATTAATCTTGTTTAAAGTATTACGGATGTCCCCCTTATTTCCCCCATTGACCTCCCTCCTCCCCGCTCCACCCCCCCAGGCCTTCACCACACTATTGTCTGCGTCCATGGGTTATGCATATAAATTCTTTGGTTAATCTCTTCCTGCCTCCTCCCCCACCTTCCCTCAGAGATTGGTCAGTCTGTTATTTTAAAGAAGATGCTCAACTGTAATTGATAGAACTGGGTGCCAAAACTCACCACAGAGCAGGAATTTGGGGCACTTTAGGGAAGTAATTTTGAGGCTCATCAGCTCTGCCTGAGCATCCACATTTCTTAAGATAAAGACACAGTAACAATTCCCACACTAAGCTCCCTAACCCAGTGTTGGTTGTGCCTCTGCTGCCCCCTAGCACCAAGCTCCGTCTTCCAAAGAAATCAAAGTGCAATTTGTTGCGCTCTCCATCTCTCATTCAGCCCCAAACCCCATTTATTGATTCCCTATCATGTGCACTATGTGGCAGGCTTGGTCAAGGAGATATTTTAAAAATTACTATAAAATAAATAACAGAGATGAAGAAATAAAAATAAGGTATAGCAAATCAGTTATAGCAGAAAAGAGCAAACTGAAGCTAAAATAAAGGAAAAAGCTGTTTCACGTTGTCTTCACTAGCGGTAAACTTCTGAATTAAAAAAATATCCAGATAGTTTTGAATACTGATTTTAACAGTATATTGCTTTAGTGTCTCATGTCAGTTACTATCAGTGAAACTAGATATCTAAGATATTACAGTTTCTCTGAATTCTGCTAGGTTTATCTTATACTGCTTTTTCAGAAGTTTCAATCGTGGACTAAACACTGATTTATTTGTACAAGTGTCTCCTCTCATGTTGGGGCTGCTGAGCATAGTGACAGCGCCTCCCATCCCCAGGTGGCCTCTGATGTGAGCATGATTCAGGCTTAGCATGAGGATGTTAGGAAAGCCAGCTCCATCGTTTCCAAGACCAAAACTGCATGATTTAAAAAATAGCCCTGCATGTGTTCGGTTGATACATTATCATTATCTTTTCCTTTTTCATCTCCACTTTCACTCCCCCTCCCCCAAAGCCTTCTGTTTGCCTCTGAAACACTGGCCATCAGGATCACCCCCGGAGTGGCAGCGAGCATTCCTAAGGACTGAGCTCTCCTCCGGGGACAGTTCTTTCCGCTGTGGCACACCAACTGAGTGCTGGGGGGCAGAACCCATCATTTCTTACTCCTCACATACCTGAGGTGACCACCAGCTGCGCAGTGCTGGTTACTGAGCCGTAATCATTTCTTGCCGAGCAGGTAAAGATCCCTGCGTCTTCAGGGAAAGTCTCAGCGATGACGAGGGTACAGATCTCCTCTGGAGGAAAGAAGAGTAGAGAACACACCTCACCAGGGTGAAACCATGAAATCACTTTCAAGTCAGACCCTCTGCCTTTCTTAAACAAGCAAATTAGATAATGATTATTGAAGAATACTTTACAAAATAGTTCACAATAGACTCTCTTTACATTCAATTTAGCAGGTTAGGCCAGAGGGAAAAGGTTTGGAGTCAGACCCATTCTTTGTGATTTCAAGCAAGATCAGCTTTGGTTGCCTCATCTGTAAGATGGGGTAACGTATACCCAGGGGGATGGCTGTTAAGATGAAACAAGATGTTTGCAAAGTGTGAGTCTCTGCGCTTCGCATGTGGAAGATGCTCAGGAGATGCCAGCTCCATTTTCTTCCTGCCTAGTTGATTGTATGGGGAAGTTCTTCCTGCTACTGACTCCTACTTCTGCTCAATTGAAAAGCAATTAGTGGGGGAAATCGAGCCTCTCTGACATGAGGACAATGGGG